ACCATGATTGAATCAAAACCCTTGGATGGTGGAAGATCGGTTATGAAGTCAGTTGAAGTGACAGAAAATGGATGTGTTCGTGTTGGGGCAGGGATGGGGTTTAATGCAGGTGCTGAAGGATGAGTGTTCACTTTGTTTTGTTGACAGGTAGCACAACCGTCAACATAATTGCGGATGAAGATGAACATTCCTGGCCACCAATAGTCTCTTCGAACCAATTCCAGTGTCTTGAAGTGTCCTGGATGTCCGGCAGCAAGAGAGTCGTGGTACTGAGACACGATTTCTCTGCGTAGATCTTGATTGGCTGGTACATAGATGCGTCCTTTGAATTTTACAAGCCCTTCTTCGAGTTTCCAATCGTTGAGTGAGGATCGAAGGGGAAGGGGTGATCCTGTCTTCAAGGCTTGCAGAGCATCGCGTACCACCGAGTCAATCTCAGTTGCCTTAACCATTTGATCATGTCAGTCTACATCAATGGCTTGGATTTCCAATGGCCTGTCTGTCAAGGTACTTTATTCTTGTGCATCTAGACGTGGCCTTTTGTCAATCGGAATCCAGTCATTGTTGATCATTGGTTCATGTGTTCGCTTGTTCGTGATCCTTTCTGCTTCCATGATGTTGGGTGGGTGAATGTCGCCTTGGAGGTCAGGGTTGTTGATCCATACATTTGTGGGGTCGTTGTGAGAGATCAATGTTGGATCGACCCTTGATTCATCTTGACCTTCATTTTCTTTTGTCATGGATACATTTTCTGTTGGATCATCCTTGAATTCCACTGGGCTTGGTTCGGTCAGTGTCATAGGTATATCCTGCTTTGTTTGAATCTCCAATTCCTTCTCCAATTTAGGCGTAGAGGGTTCGCTCATATGTTCATCCTGATCTGGAGTGGCATCACTATAGAACATTTGCTCTGGCAATAGGACTATTTGGTCATTGTCTTCCTCATCGGGACATAGATCTGGTCATCTTGAGAGTGCATTTGATTGCACCATTTGTGGTCCAGGAATATGTTTCAAGATCAGATCGAACTTAGATAGATACAGTGAGCAGCGAGCTTGTCATCTTGTTAGGTGTTGTGCTGATCGATAGTACTGCAAGTTGTTGTGATCACAGTAAACTGTGACTGGATGGGGTGCGCCCTCGAAGTAGTAGTCCCAATTCTGTAGTCCTCGGATGATTGCCAGGAGCTCCCTAGCGTAGATTTTGTAGTGTCGTTGAGCCTTGTCAAATGCCTGTGAAATATATCCACATGGGTGCCAGTCTCCATTTACATCCTGTTGGCATAGAACTGCCCCTGATGCAAACTTGGATGCATCGGTTTCCAGAATGAATGGTTTGGATTTGTCCGGCATCATCAGCACTGGTTCTTCCAGGAACTTCTGCTTCAAGGTTTCAAATGCAGTTTGACATTCAGCTGTCCAGTCCCAAGGATGATCCTTCTTGGTGAGGTCGTTCAATGGTCGAGAGATGTTGGCAAAGTGTGGAATAAATCGTCAGTAGAAGTTGCAGAATCCTAAGAATGACCGGACGTCCTTCAACTTCCTAGGGACAGGCCAGCTTGCTATTCCTTTCAATTTGACTGGATCCATGCCCAAGTGGTTTTCCTTGACGATCAGTCCAAGGTATTCCACTTCTGGTTCACAAAATAGGCATTTTTCCAATTTGAGGAATAGGTCGTTTTCCCTTAATCGTGCCAAGACTCGTTTTGTTCTTTCCGTATCTTCTTCAGCTGTCTTGGAGAAGATAAGGAAGTCATCCATGTATATGATCAGCCATCCTTCGTCAATCATGTCTTTGAATAGTTCGTTCATCATTGACTGGAATGTTGCCGGTGAATTGCATAGGCCAAAGAACATGACGGTCGGTTCAAACAATCCTCGATTGGTTTTGAACGCTGCTTTCCATTCGTCACCTTCTTTGTTACGGACATTATTGTAGCCTTTGCGGACATCCAATTTGGTGAAAACCTTTGCCCCTTGTAGCTTGTCCAGGATTTCGCTGATCAGGGGAATTGGATAGGCATTCTTGACTGTCCATTCATTGAGATATCGGTAATCTTGGCAAGGCCGTACGTCTCCATCCTTTTTGCCTATGAAGAAGAATGGTGATGCCATAGGGGATTTAGATGGTAGGATGTAGCCTTTTGACAAGTTTTCCTTCAAGAATTCATCGAGTTTCTCTTGCTCTAATGGTGACATAGGATAGAGTTTCTGATTCTTTGGAACGAATCCTTCTTTGAGATCTATTGCATGATCATATGGCCATCGCTCAGGGACTCCCTCTGAGCTTTTCTCGTCAAAGACGTCCGCAAATTCCTTGTACTGTTCAGGTAATTCCGCTTTGCTTTTGGCTTCCTTCTCAGCTTCTTGAGCCATCCGCATTGCAGGCTTAACCTTCTTGCCAGTGTCCTTTTGTCCAGTGATAAACCGTATGAGGAGATCGTCTTCCTCTGCCTTAGTTCGTGCAATTAGGGCGTAGATGTCATCCAATTTGATCTTCCATTTCGGTGTACTCTGGAAGATGGGATCATCAACATGTGCCAGCAGTGGTCCATTGCAGTATTGACGTTTGATGGAGAATTCTTCATCAGGGATTTTCTTCAATGGTTACGCTTAGGATGGATTTTCTCTTTCCAAAGTCAATCCGTCCAGTAACCCAGTTAATCTCTGGGTTGTTCTTCTGTAACCAAGGTAGCCCCAAGATAACGTCTTCTTTTCCCAGATCAGTGACCAAAAATCGGACAGAGCGGACTCGATCTCCAATCTTCATCTGTAGGAATGCGGCCTTGGTAATGAGACCTTGCCTGTTCTTGGTGCCATCAACATTGAAGACCTTGATTGGTCTCGGTATAGGGACCGCCTTCAGCTTGTTTGTCATCACAAACTTCTGGTCGATAAAGATTCCTCCAGCCCCTGAATCAATGAAGGCTTCTGCAGTCGTTTCAGCGCTTCCCTTTCCACGTGATAGCAAAATATTGATCTTCATTGACTGGTCAACAGTCTTTGCTATGGTTACAGTAGAAAGGTAGGAACGAGACGAGCCTGACGCTGATGCAGGTTGTCTTAGGCAAAATCCTTCTCCGTCATTTCTTCGAGAAGTTTGATCTTGTCGTTCTCTTCAAGTTCTGCCATCATGGCTTTGATCTTGGTGACATTAGACACTTCTTTGGTTGAGTCTTCTTTGATTTCTGTGGTACGGACAGGCCTTCTCTCTGGCTGTCTCCCTTTGTCCTGCTTGTGATCGGCAGCTCTGTGGCCAGTCTGACCACAGGTGAAGCATCGTCCTTCCTTCATGTACTTCTCTCTGTCACTGGTCGATAGGCGATCGACATCCATGGCATTGGGGTCTTTAGAGGGAGGAGTGTACCTTGGGGTGACAAGGTTGCTGGTCTGTCCAACTCCCTTGTATCGGTTGATGACCGCTCTCGCCCGTTGATACTGATTGTCAAATCGGGATGTGGCTTCGTACCATTCTTCGATCGTCTTAGGCATGCGCTCCATGCTGTAGACCTTCTCAACTAGCTTGTTCTGGAGTCCCTCTTGGAAGTACTCGATCAGAGATACGTCTTCAGTGATTCTGCATTGTGCGGTCAACATGCGGTGATATGCACTGACACACAACAATCACCAAGGACCAAAAGAAATAAACCTAAACCCTGTGATGTGGGTGAAGGCGGTCTGAGACAACTGAAGGGTATTTAATAGTTCGAGGGGGAAAGGAGGAGTAAGACGCCGTAAGGTAGTCCGTAAGAAGACCTAGAAAAATAAAACGAAAACGTTGACGCCTGAAACAAACACTAATGGACGCTCCGGAGTATTTATCTCTGAAAAGTCGCAAACAAAGTTGCAAACCACGGAACCGAGTGTAGGTTTGGGCCCACGGGAGTAGAAAACGCTAAAAGGACTTGTTTAATTTTATTCCGCTATGTGAGACTCACCAGAGCTAATTAAATCGATGGCGGAGATAATTCACTCGACAGGTCAGGCCTATTGGCAAGCTAGGATCGGTTATAATTTGCTAAGTTCAACGCTTTCGAACTTCTCGGGTCGCTGAGATCGTAACGCTAATTCTCTGAGATGGGGAAGTCAAAACTTGTTTTTCTGTACGCTACT